TTTTTTTCCCTTTTTTTTTTTTTTTTTTTTTTTTTTTTTTTTTTTTTTTTTTTTTGCGCACTGAAATCTGTCGTCGACTCGCCGCTGGGCTAGCAGTTGCTCGCAGAGCTTCTGTTCATTACACGACGATGTCTCTAGCTAAACTGAAGTGAAAAACCATCGCAATGCGTACTTTAAACTGTGCTACAAAACATACGGACTATGCGACCTGCCTGCGCTCGGCTTTTCGCTCTTTCGGCTCTCGTTCGCTTTCGCTCTCGTGCGGCTCGTCCAACACAGGCAGCGAGCCCTGCATTGTGGGACACAGTTACTTTCTCTTCAGGCAAATTAATATGTTTGTTTATTTTTTTAATAAAAATCAATTAATTAAGAATATTGATATTTAATGACTAAATCTATGTGTTGAATTTAAATTGCAATTAACCTGAAACTAACAAAAATTTGTTTACATAAATAATACAAGCTGTGACGAAGCGTATATTTTATACATCTGCACTTATTTACATATATACCTATACGTATTATTTAAATTTTTATTCTTCAAAACATTTCTTAATTTTCATTTTAACAAATTCATAATTTTTCAGTTGAACTGCATTTTACTGCATTGCCCCACTGTGCTTAGAGCCTGCCTGACTGACTGGCCATAATCATCGTTCACGCTTATTAGGAGCGACGGTGGCGTTACTCTGGCACTAGGTCTTGGTCTGCTCTGCTCTGCTCTGCTCGCAACTGTTATACGGCAAGTCGTTGCGCTGTTTCCGTCTCCATCGCTACGCCTTACTGTATTATGCCCAAGAAGCTTTTTTTCGCATGCTCTCTTTGTGTTTGTTGTTTGTTTTTGTTGGCAACTTTTGGCAGTCGGTGCCGCCGCTCAGCACTTTGCCCCTCAAATTTTGCGGCTTTTGCTGCTGCTGTTGTGGCTGTTGTTGTTGCTATCTTCATTGCACGCGCTCTCTCTCTCTCTCTTTCGCTCTCTCACACTCACTCTTCGCCTTTGTGCCTAACAAAATTTCATTATCTCTAGTGGCCGTTTGTTTATTTATTTGTCGAGCATTTTACGTTTGGTTCGTCTTGGAGAGAGGGGGCGAGTGAAAAGGAACCGAAAAGACTGAGTTGCTACAACCAATGGCATTAACTCTGTTGTAACTTGAATAAATGTTGTCAATGCTTTATAGCCAACATATCCTTAAGTGCGTGTATACATATGCATATGCTATGCTAATACATTCACTGATATCCTCATCGCCTGCATCATTGACTTTATTTCTAGTTTGTGCACATTTCGAGTGTGTTGTTACCACTGTAAGGCCCCCAAAAATCGATCGCACGTTGTCCGGTTTTATTACAAACACACGCTTACACAAGTAACGACACACACACACACACATAAACACTCACACACACAGACACTCTCGCAGGATTTGTAACCTTTCTTTTACAAACACAAACACAAATGCAAAACGTTTGCAGCTGATTTTTTTTTCTTTCTTTCTTTTCTTTTTTGCCGCTAATTTATGCTACATAATTTGGAATTTCGGTAATCAGCTGTTGATTTAAATGACACCAATTGGGCTGCTGATAAAACACAATTATTAAGTAACAGCTAATTTTCTATATTGCGCCTCTTCGATATAATAGGTTTGTGGTTTTATTGGCCTGTTCCATCGAGTATCGAATCAACAAAATATTCCTCTTACACACAAATGCCGCAACACACAACACAAGAGACGTGGACGACGACTCACGACAGAATGACGAGCGCTCAAATCGCAGTTGTCGGCGACTGCGACTGCGGCGCCAGTAACGGTCCAAAACAACAGCTGCAAATCGGCGTCGACATCCGCGGGATACGACCACAACAACAGCAACAGCAACAACAACAACAACAGCTCCACACAAAATGCTCGGGGGACTGGAACAAAGAAAAAAAAGTAAAATAAAAGAAGAGACGAAAAACAACTGTTATGAAAACATTAGACGGAAAGCTTTCGGCTTCAGCTGTGTGCAAAAGCTTAGCCTTCTTCTAAAAATATCGCGTATAACAGTCTTGCAGCTTGCAGCTGGTTGTGTGCTTTTGCCTGTGCGCAAATGTTGAACACATTTTGCAAGCTATGCGCTAAGCAGACACAGAAAACTGAAATGCTCCGCAGTACCGTGTATACCCTGTAAAATGGTATTTTATTGCGGTAGATAATACGTTAAGATAACGAACTGCATCAATTTCTTATCTGATAATGGGCATTAAATTAAGTTGAGTATATTTAGGATAGTGGGACACATTTCCGTGGGCATTAATTATTTGTTAAAAATATTAAAGAATTTCCGCTCCATTGCTTGGTATCAGTTCATTTTCTAAATTCCTATTGCGCTGTCGCCAACTCCAGCAGCGCTGCATTTGCTGTTTACTGTTTAGTCGCAAGCTTTCGCAGAAGCTTAGCATACTCTTAGGCACATGCAAAGCTTTTGCACTCTCAAACGCCTGGCAACCCTGCCAACCACTTTCTTATAACTTGTTGCGCCAGTTTTGTTTTAGTTGCCGCCTGCATCTCGTACCACTCGCACGCCGCACAGCCCTCGCACACTCGCGCTCTCTCCGTCTCGCTCGCGCTCCACAAGGTGGGTCTGTTGTTTTTATTTACTTTCTATGCATTACTTGGCGTAGGCGCGCAGAAAAAAAAATCAAAAAAAAAAAAAGAAAAATGTATTTATAAATGCAACACGCATTTTATATTGGTGGATTGGTAAACATGGCTAACAGAAATTCTAAATTAACATTAAAAACCAAATTGTTTATTAGGAATGTGGGCACGCCCAAAGTAATTTGCATAATTTTCAACTGAAGATCGTATATACAAACAGAAAAAAGAAAAACATTTGAATGGAGTCTAGTGAAAGAAAATGTTCAGACCAGAAACTTTTCAGTTGTTGTACCAAGACTAAATTTTTTTTTTTTAATTAACATGATGAAAAAGATTTGAAATTTGAGTATTAGGAAAATTCAAACGTCGATTGGAGTTTTCTACCTTTTTCTTGAATTATAATAAGAGTTTTGTTTCAAATAAAACTGACTTTAGCAATATGTTAAATTATCGTAGAGTATGCGTCAGACACTTGATGACATAGTAAATTGTGCATATTACACTCGCGCAGCCTTACCTTATGTTTACAAACATAGCTATACAGATACATATATCGTCACATCTATTTACGTCAACAACACCAAAACGGTTGCTCGACTGTTTGTCACGCAGTATTCAAAGCCAAATTCTCTAGCAAAAAGTGAAATTTTTAATTAAATAACAGTTGACATTACTTTCATTATATATATATATATATGCAGATATGGAGCTTATATAGGTTTATATACATATATAGAAGAGGATTATCAGCGAAATTCCTTATCTATCTTTCGATAAAAGCAGTTTGAATCAGAAAAATTGGTCTATAAAAATTATAATATATTTAAATACCTTTTCAACTTTTATATATTATATAACAGTAAACATAACAGATAAGAAATATAGTATAGCCAGTGTGAATAATTTACTTATATATCAAATCATATCACGCCAGTGAAACTTAACTGAAACTGCTTTGAATGATTCTCTTTCATCTCTTATCTGATTCATTTCCCCCCGTTTCATTTCATATTTCTTATCTGGACAAGTAGATCTTTTGTACTCACTTCACGATGGGCAATCCAGTGTGGTTTATCTTCTGGCTTTTGGTCTTCTGGATCATCGCCTTGGCCGTCGCCTGCATCTGTTCGTTCTGCTACATCATCGTCTATTCACTGGTTGTGTGCATTCCGGGCCTATCGGTAAGGACATACATATGTATATACTTGTGCTAACTGGCGATGACATCATCTAGCTGTGCATTATATAAATTATATCTCTGACTACCCATATACATAGTTTAGTTGCCGGGTGCGAAACACTTATCGCGCTTCGTAGATTTTTGTTCCATTACTCATTACTCACAAGAACTAAGCCAACTAGTCTTATGATAAAAAAAAAAAAATCACTCGCATACCCATAAAAAAAAAAAAAATACAAAACAAAAACAAAACAGCCCGCAAAAATCAAAGCAAACCCTCTCTAATCACGCCTTTTCTATGCTTTATACAGGGTATCGCCGAAATACTGCTGCAGGGCCTTCAGTTCCCGCATTATTGCGCAAAGGCCATGATGGAGTGCAAGCCCCCATTCTAATTACCTTCGTACTTTGTTATTATTATTGTTATAATCTAAGTGTAAATCGTTCGTTTTATCAGACTTGTTTTATTAATGATAAATAATAATTATTTAATATATTTGTAAATGGTCTTTTTTTTCTGCTTTGTATTTGTTGTTGTTTAATAATCAATCTCTAGCCGATAACGTAGAGATAAGATAGAATGCTCATGAATGGAGAAAGGTCTTACACTAAAACTCGTTATTAACATGTAAGAGTGCTGCAGTCGGATACTGCCGACTGTCCGATACTCGTTCACGATGCCAAAATAGATACATTTAAATAAATAAAATTCAACCAGATGTTTTACAACTTTCCATAAAATTTATAGATCTACGTAAAACATCATAGTCTTAGCTGTAAAACTGTGAGAGCTTAACACTAGAATAGGCGAGGTTATATGCGAATACGGAATATATTTCCGAATTTCAAGTCAACAGCAGACAAATGGACATTGCACACAACCGATATACCCTCTGCGGAGCAACGTGAACGAGCATAAACAATTTTGCTACAGAATCTCTTGCTAATGTTGGAGAGGTGTATGAACTTTGAACTGTGATCATTGTATACGCCTCATTTGGTGGTGGAGGCAACTGTCGCATTCTGCTGACTGCCTCCAGGTGCGTCCAACGAAGGTGTCGCCAGTGCTCCAGTTGCCGCCTGGTCAACTGTTGAGCCGGCGGGCACTGCATCGCGTTCGTTTAGCGCACGCAGCTCCAGCTCCCCAATTAGCTGCATCACCCGTATTTTGCCCTCGGTGGCCAGCTTGGGCGGCAGCCCTTTCACCGTCGAGCAAATGCTGTCGAAGAAGAGATCCAGTGAGTCGCGCGGCGGCGACTCGATTGAGGTAAGGTGCTGCAGCTGATAGGACTGCATCTGCCGCGATGCATACGACTGCAGCTGCGGCTGCCGCAGCGAATTATAGCAGCCACTGGCAATGGGCGTAATGGTTGCCTTCGAGGTAATCTCATGGTTGCCCGTGGGCGTGCTCGTGCTCATCTTTGTGAGCGCCGATGCGGGCACCTTCTTAATTGTGATGCGGCACGGCTGAGGCGTCGTTGTGGCCGGCTGGGCAGCGGGCATTAGCTGGCCATGCGGCATCTCATTGATGGTCACCTGCAGTGGCAGGTAGTCCAACAGGCCGGAATGCTGCGAATCTGTTTCCGAAGCACGACGCTTGCTAGCCGGCTCATATTCAGCATCACCGTCACCGCTTGCCTCTGGTTGTGCTTCTTCATTTTCTGCTGTGCCATCGTCATCCTCGTCTTCCTCCTCTCCCTCCTCCTCGCCGTCAGCCTCCTCATCCTCATTGTCCGGCTCTGTCTTACACAGCACGCTGCCCGTGGCAAACTGCATTGGCAGTAGGCTCTCATCGTTGCTCTCATCGTTGTACTCCCACTTGATGCTGCCGTTCGATTGGCTCTGAGTTTTCGATTTGACCGATTTGCGTTGAGCGTTCTCCGAGTGTTTTATGCTGCCCTCGTGCTTGCCCAGATCGGAGCGTTTGGCGCTCAAGCGACATTCGCAAACGGCGCAGAATACAAAATGCGGATCAGTTTCATCAAGTATTATCCACGGATATATTGACTGATATTCAGGCTTTGTTTTCGGTCGTGGATATTTGAGCATGGCGCATGGCCTGCGTGGCTTGTACTCCGAGCGCAATGCATCGCTGTGATTAAATTGATTCAATATATATCCCGTATGTGTCATGAATCGTTTAATTTTATTATTTACTTACAGCCTTTCCTGGGTTAATTGCAAATTAGACATTTATTTCTGCTTTCCACAAATATAAACAAAATCCATGTAGTGTGACCGAGTTCGTAAAAAACGAAAATTACTCACAAAATACCAAAACACAAATATACCAAAATAAGGGTGTAAAAATGGCGCTAGTGACGTAAGTAAAATTGGACAAATTTTGATCATATAGACAACAAAATTTTGTTTATTAACTTGGAATTTAATTTCAAAAAATGATTCAACCTGTGATTTAAGCTACAAGATTATCTTTTGCTTCATAGCTTTAACAATATTTATCTTGTGTATTATTTACTATTTTGGTTTTGGTAGATATTTTCAATGCTGAGCTGGTAATTTTGGTCTATTCATGTTGTTGAATCTCTCTTCTTTTGAGTCGTCAGCCGCTCGTTGCTATCATATACTGGCTCGATAACATATGGATAAACGATGTCTGATTTGACGGCGGGCACTTCAACGTCATCTTGGCAATCACAAGGATCTCCATCGTCTTTCTTATTGCAATCACATGCCCTTTGTAAATTTCATGTATTAATATAATTAATAAAAAACTGTTTGACGGGATACATACAATGTTGACTTTTGATCTTGTGAAACCGCAGTCTTTTTATTGGAACTGTTCTTATCCATATTAATACTGGCCCCAGCGACCTTCTCTTTTCGTATATTGATTATCTATAACGGCAAATTTTGAAGTCGATAGTATATGAAAAGCATGTACTACTACTACTGACTACTTTCACTAGACATATATGCTACTATCTCACCTGATTTTCGTTTCGCGCCACGACTATCAATATTGTTATGCGGACCGCTGGGATCGAAGCGGCCAGGAGCTCCGCTCGCTCGAGGCGACGGTCCTTGTGGAAAGTTGCGCATTCTACGTATATTCTCCCGCGACCCAGTTCTATAACGTTCCGGCAGCTCGCTTGGTGGATATCTTTTTTGTGAAGTGGACTTCTCTGAGCTCCTGCGGCTCTTACCCTGCCTATCGTCAGCAGCGCTTTGTGTGCCGATTCGCTTCATTCTCGTGTCATCGTTAGGATGTGGATATCGATAATGGCCCAAATTTTCCGTTGCTGTGCCTGGTCGATAGGCTCGATATTCGTTTGCGATCATCCTGCGAAACGCTTGCGGATCATTCACACGATCATTACGCCGCATATATCGAATATCATCCATTTGACTGTATGGCCGACGATGAGATCGCATTTCGTTGGTGGAAACTCGGTGGCCAACAGGTGTCATATTGCCCGGTAGGTTAGACCTTCTTTGCGGACGCATATTATCTCGATTCCCTGGGCCACGATCCCTAAAATAATCACTCTTCACGTCCTGATAGTTGGACTGATCGCCTGCAAGTAAAATTGTAATAAATAGAGGATTTTCATTTTAACTCTGATTTATATAGAAATCACCGTGCAACAGGTCTTCATCGGTGAAATTGAATGGAGGGAATAGGGCGGACGTTCGCGCGTCTCGAGAGGAAAAGTCATTACTCAAATAGGAAATGCTGGGGCCGGTGCCCACGGACCGATCGTGGCCGTAGCGCGGTCCATAGTTGGGGCCATAGCCAGCTCCATATTGCTCGAAGACATTGCCTTTATTTTTTCTGTATTGATCCTCTGCCAGGTCGGGAAAGAGAGTGTCCCACTGATGATTGCAGGATTTATGTAATACTACATTTTATCTGTGAATATGTAAAGATATGCTTACCATGTAGAATATAGTGAACGCTATAAGGCAGGCGAGCAAGAGAACAAGAGTGAATTTTGTAAACTGCAGAGCCAGAAAAACGAATACAGCGATAACAATCTCAACCTGATGGACACCAATAAATTCCAGAGATTGGCGTATTTCCGCAATTCTAATGGATTGCAAATATCTGATGAATTTGTCAGCCGCTTCGCATGCCACATGATAAGTGTCAGCCATTCTGCATGTAGGATTTGACTGAGGAAACTATTTTACGTGTCAGCTACATGAAATCATTTTAATAATCTTAAGTCTACAATACGTCAACAAAAAACTGTCGCAATTTATTTTTGAATTTCTTTTCAAAAGACTAATGTTTGCAACTATAAAATACCAAATAAGAGAATACTGAAATCACATACATGCCCGTGGTTATTTATCGAGCTTCCGCCACACTTATCGATAATTGGCCAAACATATGCTTTGTAGAATTTGCAATAATTTTAACAATAAGCTTTAGTTTAAACCGTAGTTGAGAATTAAATGCTACGTCGCACAATGGCCGAATTTGACATTACTGCCGGCTTACAGCATGTGCTAAAACGGATCGAGTCGGTGCTGCAAAGTCGCCCTCAGGTACCACTGCAATTGATAATAAAAGTAAACAAACGAAGGTCAAAAGTATATATTTTTTATCAGGAAATTAATGCACCGAAACCTCTGCTGGTGGCTGTTAGCAAAACAAAGCCCGTTGAGTGCATTATTGAGGCTTACAATGCCGGCCAGCGTCACTTTGGTGAGAACTATGTACAGGAGCTAGTGGAGAAGAGTCAACATCCCGACATTTTGGCCCAATGTCCGGATATCAAATGGCATTTGATTGGACATCTGCAGAGCAACAAAATCAACAAAGTACTTAGACTAAGAAGAAAATGCCGCTACGCCTCTAATGCATATATATATAACCAACAGGTGCTTAAGCTACCCAATCTGTACATGATTCAAACGGTGGACAGCGAGAAGCTGGCCAATGGAATAGACGCTGCCTGGGCCAAGCGACAGCCCGAGCCCACTGAGCCGCTGCGAGTGCTTGTGCAGGTCAACACCAGCGGAGAAGATGGTAAGAGTTGGCCAGATGAAATAGGAACTGCCTTGAAGAGTAAACACTTGCATCTTCTATCCATATAGTTAAGAGTGGCGTTGACGCCAGCGCTGCGCCGTCTCTTTATCGATATATCAGCGATAATCTGAAACATCTGAAGCCTGTGGGCATTATGACCATTGGCGCTTATGGTTTCGATTATAGCAATGGACCCAATCCGGACTTTGTAGCTTTGCTGCAGGTGCAACGTGAGATTTGTAAGGCCAATTCATTGCCAGCCGATGCGGTGCAAGTGTCCATGGGCATGTCCAATGACTATGACCGAGCGGTACGTAGTAAGCCAAGCAGTGGCTATTCTCGACTAGCTCTGTCATATATACATATGTAAAAATGTATGTTTTTCTTCTTTCATTGCAGATCGAAATGGGCAGCACTATAGTGCGCGTTGGCACAGCTATTTTCGGACATAGGCCCAAGGCGAGCGAGTGAACAGCCAAAGGAATGTGGTACATACTAGAGAGCCAACGCTCTCTTTCACACTCTATACAGAATGTGAATGGCTACGTTTAATACAGCTGCTTCCCAATGACGTCTATGTCGACCATAGGAAAAGTTCGTTTATTTACCATATATTGAAATAGACGCCATATACTTAAGTATAAAGAAATGTTATGAACTAAGCATATACAAATTTAATTTGCCTTGTAAATATGTATATTTAGAATATCGGCAGATAAACAAATGCTATGCGTAGGTTGCGCCTTTCCTGTTACCTTTAGCGATGTTATTATAGTTTTAATATTGTTATTTTCATATTTCAAGTGTGTATCTTTGCCTTCGGAAATTTTATACTAGAACCCGATGGATTTCAATATTATTTTCGGTATCCCTTGAATATCTGCACTGTTCTGCATTATTTCTAATTTGGCATAGAAGAAACGTATTCATCTTTTTCTTTCGGTTGGCTTGCAGCCAATGCGTCGCCTGGTTACATGCCAAATTCTGAAACGCTTTGAAAATTTGTTTAAAATCACTTTCAAAATAGCAACAACAACAAAACACAATTTCAATTATGTCTACGTGATGATTTATCAATGCATTTTTGGACAGACAGCTTAAGGTCTTGTGTTCTCAAAATTCCATTCAATGTCTTCAGTTAGCTGTTGGGAAATTCGATATGTCGTGAGATTTTCAATTTAATGGGAAAGTTTATTAAAATGATGTACATTTGAAATAAATAATGGGGTAATTTCATATCATAGTTATTGATAATAAATAAATTTTAATGATGTAATATTATATCTAATTATCGTTGAAACGTTATCTTGCAGCAAATTATGCCATGGTGTTGTATACCAACTATTCATTTGTTAAAAAAAATAAAAATAAAAGTGAAATGAAATATATTAAATGTCTTTTTCTTTGTCACCATAAACTAAACACTTATTCCAAAATTTAGAGTTTTTCATTTATTAATATTAAAAGTCGTCTGAGGTCAAATTAGTTACTGTAATAGAAATCTTCATCTTTATTTTTATTTTTCCGAATATAACTAGGAATGCCTTAAATGCAGATTAATGGAACTAAAAAGTTTATGATAAATATAAAGAGCACGATTTTATAATAAAAATAAAAAAATATGGTAATATAAATTATTGAAAAATATTTACATTTAATGGTGTTAAGCGATAATAGTAAATAAACATAAGCAATATAAAAAAATAATAATAATAATAATAAATAAAATGCATTTTTATTGAATGTTGAAATTAAATAGAAAAGTTTTAATTCATAAAATATTTTTAAATGTACCCTAATTTTTTACCGTTATATATATTTAAATTTATATTAAATATAGTAATATATTTAAAAAAAAAAAAAAACAAAAAAATTAATGCATAATACAACTCTTAGAAAATTTAATATTTAGTAAATAACAATATAAAATAAAAGAAAACATTATTAATAGAAAAAAAATTTTAATGTTTAAAATTTAAATTCTTGATTAGAAATTTTATTTAGATTCCTATTAATATTTTCTGAGAAGCAAATTATTATTATGATTATATACACATATGCATTATGTATATTAAGCAATAATTAAACTTATTTATATTATTTCATATGTAAAAAGAAGAGTAATATTCATTAATAAAAATAATTTAAATTAAAAATGTCCATTATATTGAAGAAAATGTTTTATTAATCATTATCCCGACTAATTTTAGCAAACATAATTATCATATGTAAAGTTCATTTAACTTTTTCATAATTCATATATCTCGGATG